ATCTTTGGGTTCTTGCCTTCTCTTTTCCATAATATGTCAAGAGATGTGAGATCAGGTAGAAAGTAGGAGGGAGAAGGTGCCAGGAAGATAAGTACATGTGCAAACAAGTGCTTATGGTCAAGCCTGGACTTTAAAGTATTGTGATCAGAGGTGCTGTTGCTAATTATATACGTTTTACATACCACATTTCCACATGTCACCACAATTTGCTTTATTGGCTTTGGCTCTTAATATGCACTGTCAAAGGACTAGCAGTTTATGGTACTAGACCAAAGTTTATTTAAATTGATGATTCCAAACTTTAAATTTATGACATCATGTTAGTTTGTAATATGAATGTTTTCTTTAAAACTTTAAAATATTTATGCTTTTACTTATATTACACAGTATTCCTTAAGCTAATCTTAGATATAGGTCTATTTAAAAAAAAATCAACTTGGAGTCTTTTGCTTCAGCCTTATCTATAGTAGAACACAGTTATTCTACCTTTATCTGGAAATAAAAATTGTAATATAGGGGCACCTGGCTGGCTTGGTCAGTGGGAGTGTGTGACTCTTGATCTTGGGGTTGTGAGTTGGAGCACCACATTGGGTGTAGAGATTACTTAAAAAAATAAAACCTTTAAAATAATTGTATATATTTTGTAGTCTTGTTAACAGATTTGAGGAAGGATAGTATACCATCATTTGCTGGGCTTCATGGTATAAGTATAGTTCTTTTACTTTCATATAGTTCTTTTACTTTTGTAGTGACCTATCAGTGCAACCAACTTAATAAAAGCTAGTACACATAGAGTTTAATATATGTCAGGCACTGTGAGGCGACAAAATATAAACATTTATATTCTAAAGTATAAATAATACTGTTCTCTACTATGGATGTGGCTGAGGCCGATGTCACACTTTTTTTTTTTTTAAACAAATATGGGTGCCTGGGTGGTTCAGTTGATTGAGCTTCTGACTCTTGATTTTGGCTCAGGTCATGATCTCATGGTTTGTGGGATCAAGCCTTTCTCTCTCTTTCTCTCTTCTCTCTCTGCCCTTC